TAAGTAGTTCTATATGAATATAAAACTCTTCCCCATTCCACCACAAGCCCTGTGAGGTTAGAATGGTGGGAGACCTGTGTGGGGAGGAGGGAAACATCTGTCCCTGGTCCTCACATCTGGAGAGTAGGGCTGGACAGCCCCAGGTTTACCTGACCTCAGCTGCAGAGTACTGAATTATTTCCAGGTTCATGGCACTCTACCCTTATATGGCCATGCAAAGCTCTTCTCTTATTTTATTTGTCTTTTCCCTGTTTATCTAATTCCCCCATAGGTAACCATTCTAAAGTATTTACTGTCTATCTTTTTTGTATGCATGCTTGCATAATGTGTATTATTTGTGTGAAAAAATTTTTATTTATGTAATCTTATGCAAATGTTATTGGGTTATGTTTCCATCTTGTTTCTTATGCCTGGTTTGCCATTTTGGAAGGAATGGAAAGTTCTGGAGCTCTGCAGTGGACATTTATCACATTTTAATGACATGCCTACTATGTGTGACTCGAATAAGGATGGAGGGCATGAGGAGGTGTGGCTAAGAGCTATGGCTCTGGGTCGTGAACGCTAGGGTTCAGATTCTGTCTCCTCCACTTACTAGCTTCCTGGTTTTAGGCAGGCCACTTAAGCTTTCTGCTTTTAGTTTAATTATTTATAAAGTGGGGATACTTTAGCATACATCTCAGAGGCTGTTATAAGAATTAAATGTGATAAGCAGATCTGGGCTACTTCTCTTACTGGAGGAAAATCACACCCCAGATTGCATCATTTATGACTTCTCCCTTCTGGATCCTCAGTGATGCTCAGTAGCCCCGTTGGTTGTAGCTCGTCAAAGCCTGTTCCGCAGTTCTTCACTAGGTTTTCCTCATGCTCAAATCACTTTATCCACGGCAGGCTCACATTTGGCAGACAACCTTACCTCTCCCCCACCCTTTTTAAAGAAAATACAGATCATGAGGTATAATCTTTGATGCATCTTTTCTCCTTCCAAGAAAAGCACCTGTGCACACTTCCTGCTCTCTTATTCAGAGAAGTACAAATTCTGCCTCTCGAAGCTTAAGTCCTCCACCTACACTAGAGAGTCAAGGTCGCTGCCCTTGGGGAAATAACATACAAAAAAAGGGGTACAGGCAATAAACAAATAAACAATCCATATAGAAGCTATTTCTACCTACCCAGAAATGCTTTGAAGATAACACAAAAGGTGAGACTTTCATGTGGGTGGAAAGGGAATGTCTTTCTGAGGCAGCGACATTGAAGTTGACCCAAGGCTATATCTTGTGAAGATCAGTGGGTAACAAAGTCCAGAAAGAGAGAATAATCTGTGCGGAAACCCTCAGGAGAGAAGGAGCTTGGTGTGGGTGAAGGGCAGGAGGTCAGTCAGTGATGCTGAAGTCCAGTAAGCAAAGGGGAAACGGCAGGAGGTCAGCCAGATCAGAGCTGTCCAGTCGAACTTTCTGTGATGATGGAAATATTCTACCTCTGTGCTATACACTGTGATAACCACCAGCCACATGTGGCTGTTTAAATTGAAGTTGATGTAACTAAAATAAAATCTAAAATTCAGCTTTTCAATCACACTAGCCACATGTGCCTCCATGAATAGAAATATTTAACAATATATCTATTTTTTATAATTGCCAGCATTTCAGATGCTCAGTGGCCACAAATGGCCAGTGGCTACCACATTGGACAGTATGGGAAAGCAAGGACAGCTCAGTGGGGCTTTGCCCATCAAGATGGTTCAGATTATTTGCTAGTCGTGGTAAGAAGTGACTGAAGGGTTTGAAGCAGGAGACTACTGTGATTGAGCTGCATGCTAAGAGGTCTCTGGAGCTGCTGGGAAGAGGGCAGGGGTGGGGAGGCCATCTGGAGAGGCGAGAGAGGAAACAGGGAGACTGGTTATAGTCACTGCAGTGGCCTGGGACACAGATGAGGGAAGCTCAGACTCGGGCGGCAGCAGAGAAGTGGATGGGTTCTGGATTTATTTTGGTGAACAGGAGTAATTGATGATTTAGATGTAAGATATAAATGAAAGAAAGGGACCCATGATAATCCCTAGGTTTTTTATTTGAACAAAACTTTTTTATTATATTCAATGATGCCATTAATTAGACTCTTCCCATTTTTAAGGTGGATTAAATTCCCTTCCTGTCTTTTAATTAGGAATCCATTTTAATGACTAAACTTATAGCATTTTAGTATTGCTCGATGTTGCAGATGGATTGTGCCTCTCCCTTCACACCTGCATTATGATGTTACTCTTTGCCAGGTCACCATTGACTTTCTCAATGACAAATAAAATGGCAAATTCTTTATTCCACTCCTGATCAATTGCTGCAGTGTGTGCAGTTATCTGTCTACTCCTTTCATGCATTGACCCCTAGGCCACTCTCTCCTGACCCTCTTCCTGCCTGTCATCCTGTGCCCTCTAGTCCTGCTTCTGCTAGTCCCCCTCCCAGGGCTGACATCCTCAGACTCAATCTTGTTTCTTATTTTCTGTGCACCTGGCTGATCAGATCCACTCCACTATCTACATTTCCCATCTATATTCTGCAGTCTCATAAATCTATAAAATAATAGCATCAGCCTTTTCTATGAGCCAGGAGCGTAGCTAATTGAATTAAACACATCTCATTTAATTGAATTAAACACATCTCATTTAATTCTTCCCTGAACTCTGTGTGGTAGATACAACTATTCTAATGTCAGATGTGGGAGTGAGGCTCAGGAATGTGTGAGACCTTGCCCAAGCTCAAAGAACCAAAAGTGGCAGAGCTTGGATTTCAAGCCAGGCCCCTGTGGCTCCGGAGCTCAGACTTCTCATTTTCAGATCTAGGCTTAGAGCCACCTAGTGGACAACACATGAATATGTACCTCATATGCCAGAAAACAGGTGTAAAACTTACTATCTCACGCTCTTTACCTTCTGTGAACCCCACAAACAAATAACAAACTGAACTACCTCCTTTCCTTGTATTCTTTATTTGGTCCCATGGTACAACCAATCCAGCCCCTAAAACTAGAAACATCTTTGTGTTTTACTTCTCTTCTTTCTCACATCCGGTTGATTTCCAGGTCCTGCAGGGTGGGTGTACTTCAGGTGCCCTTCATCTAAAGCATCTCACACTAGAGTTAGAGAACCGCTCTAGCCTGCATTGGGGTCCCCTGGGAGGCTCGTTAAACCCCCCGAATGCTAGGCCTTATACCTAGAGTTTCTGATTCACTAGGTCTGGGCCGGGGTCTGAGAATGTGCATGTCTAAATGTTCTCAGGTGATGCTGCTGCTCCAGGGACCACACTTTGAGAACTAGTGGTCTAGAGAGAGCCATGCATCTCAGCCCATGGGCACAGGGCCGGGTAGCTGGGGTTTGCAGAAGTGCTGAGCCCAGCAGAAGCACAGAGCAAGAAAGGATTCTTTTAGCCTGGGAATGAAAAGGAAGGCTTTGAAAAGGGAGAAAACAGTCAACTGTCAAATGGCTGGGACCGAAGGCTCTATGTTTCTCTAAAAAACCGACCCCATTAAAGCAATATCCAGAGTCCCATTTCTTTCCAGGCTCACCAATCATAGTGTTAACATGTCACCCCCCATTTCGTGTCTCTTTTCCACTCTCCAGCTTCTAATCTAAACTAGAATATGCCTAGCAGCATCAGAGTTCATTCCCTTTCCCATGGGCCCTTGCAAAAAAAATAAAGTGAGTAGTCTGCATTCAAACTGCCAGGCAAGCAGGGCATGAGAGGGCAGAGAGAAAGCCAAGGGGAGAGCTATGCCTGGCAGCAGCAGCCTCTGTCTCTCCCATTCTTCAGGACCTCACTCTGCTCCAGTAATTTGCAGAGCCCCATAAACTTTGGACCCTCCCTGCTGAGAAGTATATATCACATTAACCCCACCCTACCCCTGGTCAGAGGAGGAAGCTTGGCTATGAGCTGAAACTAATCCGAGGAGCACAAGGTGGAGGAAAGCCAGCACCAGGAGGGTCGTGTTTATCGTCTCCTTCCTCGTAGCTTCTGTTCCTCCTCCCTCTTGCCACAAGCAAATCTTTCTTTCCAGAAAGTGAACAACAACAACAATAATAAAAGAATAAGCCCTGGCTGGTTTGGCTCAGCAGTTAGAGCATCAGCCCGCCGACCTAAGAGGGGCAGGTTCGATTCAGGTCAAGGGCATGTACCTGGGTTCCAGTTGGGTCCCGGCCCTGGTTGGGGTCGTGCAGGAGGTAACTAGTCCATGTGTCACTCTCACATCTCTCTCTCTCTCTCTCTCTCTCTCTCTCCCCCCCCTCCTACTCTATCTGAAGATAAATGGAAAATATCCTCAGGTGAGCATTTAAAAAATTTTCTTAAAAAGAATGAGAGAACAGAAAAGTAAGACTCAGAGGATTTTAACAATTGCACAAAACAACTTTGTAAGAATACAGGTAGCAACGATAAAACAAAAAAACTCCATAATCTTATCATTTTAATGTGTCCAATAAACTACATTTTTCAAGAAATGGGGCTTCTTATATCTATAGATGTTTATGATCCAAGTTTTGACTAATGGTCCTCAGCCCTGGCTGCCCATCTGAAACATGGATGTCTAGGTACTATGGGATTGGGGTTCAGGCAGACATACCTCTACTTTTGTTAACTTTTTATTGAAGTAAAAACATTTTGTATCATGAATGTGAAGCTAGATTAATTTTCACAAAATGAACAAACTCAGATAACCAGTACCCAGATCAAGAATCAGATTGTTACCAGCAGATCAAGACCTTTTGTACCCTGTCTAGTGACTACAGCCCAGTGAAAGTTAACCTCTAACATCATGGATTAGTGTAGTTTATTTTTGGATTAAAAAAAACTCCACAGAATTAAAAACAATATATACTTCAGTGTTCGCTTTTTTCCCCTCGTTACATGCGATTCATTCATATTGTTGTAGATAGTTGTGGTTTGTTCATCCTCATTGCTGTGTAGTATTTCATTCTGCAAATGAACCACTATTTATTTATCCATGTTACTCTTGACAGGTACCCAGATAGTCAACAACCAATAATTGAGATATATGGAAATTAAGAACTTCTGTTCAACACAAGTCACCATTTACAGAATGAGAGGTAAGGAAAAATATTCTCAATACAAAACAAAGGACTAGTACCTGAATATTATATGTTATCTATAATTATATATTAATTATCTATAATATATATATTACAGAGTAATAAGTTTAAAAACCAACTCGATTAAAAAAATATTTGACACATCTCAAAAGAAAATATACAAATGACCAATAAACACATGGTGGGCAACTTCATTAGTGGTTCAGGATATGCAAATGAAAACAACCATCTGAATGATTACTATGAAAGGATGGAGAATACCAAGCAATAATGAGGATATGGAACAATGGGGATTCTTATACACAGTCGATTTGTGCAACCACTATGAGAAACTCTTTGGGAATGGCTGCAAAGCTGATCACGTGTGTAGTCTTTGACTCAGCAATTCTAGTCTCAGATGTGCACTCCACAGAGGAGGGTGTATATGTGCCCCAAAACACAACTATAAGATGTTCGTAGAAGCACATTTGTTATGGCCCCAAACAGGCATCTTTATGTTTAAGATGCTCTAGGTGATTCTGAGGACCAACCGGGTCTTGGAACCATGACAATATCAAATGTACTTTTGATAGAATTTTGAATTTTTATTTCATTTTATATGCTTATTTAGTAGGAAAATCAGAAGCCGCTACCCTTCTCCTTTGCACGAAATAAAGCTTACATGATGGAAATGGCTAAAAATTAATTATTTATAGAATACTAAATTTTTTATTTGTTGAAATGCTGAATATCTAAAAGATATATTTTTATGCAGTAGAATCTGAAGAGGCCTTGGGCCCTGATGGTAGGATCCACTACAGGAAAGGGTTGGAGTCAGGAAATAATAATGCTAATTCTATAGTAATAAGTCTGTACTGTAATATGATACAATTTAGTTCTCAGTTGTATCCTGAAATTTAAAAATAAAAAGAAGAAGCTGGAAACTATTTTTTCTCCCAGGAAACTATTTTTCCTCCCAGGAAAGCCACCTGCTCTTCCGGCAGCATCACCAGGGCCAACATCTTTTTAGGTCAGTCTTTCACTCGAGAGACCCCAAATGGGAGCCAGGTTCTCTGCTGGGTGTCGAATCCTCTCATTGTCCCCACTCTCATGACAGCCCTGGAGGTGGTTCTTTTAACTGCCATTTGACAAGTGAAGGAGTTAGGGTCAAGGAGGCAAGGTCACCTGCAGGAAGTCGCACAGCGCGTGGATGACAGAGCCAGCCGCACTGGGGAGTGAGTGTTCGGATGCCTGCAATGGAGAAGCAGACAACAGGTGTGTTTATCTAGGGCCGCGGTTCTCAACCTGTGGGTCGCGACCCCTTTAGGAGTCGAATGACCCTTTCACAGGGGTCGCCTAAGACATAACAGTAGCAAAATTACAGTTATGAAGTAGCAACAAAAATAATTTTATGGTTGGGGGTCACCACAACATGAGAACTGTATTAAAGGGCTGTGGCATTAGGAAGGTTGAGAACCACTGATCTAGGGCTTCCTGTCTGCGGGGCCCTGGGCTAAGCACTGGGTTATGTCGGCAAGTCCAGGAGGAATAGGCAGACCTGAGAGCTGGCAGAGGGGAAGGTCATGATATTGTGGGAGGAGACTGCTTTTCTCTGGAGGATGGCACAGTATCTGGTTTATAAGGCAAAGGTCAAGGGCTGATTCCCTCTTTCTAGTTGTGGTTGGAAACTGGACAGGAAAAAAATCACACACCCAGTTTGAATTGTACTCTGCAAAGTAGGGATATGCACTGGGGTGAAGGTAACGTGTAGGTGGTAGGTAGTCTGAGAAGATGGATGATCACTTTGATAAATAGGATAGTGGTGGTGAGTACTGTTTGGGGGAGAGGGTGTTTGAGGAGGCACGTTGGGGTCAGTGTGGCGCAGGAGTTTGGCATGACGCTTGAAACAGAACTCTAGTCAGGTTTTCCAGGGGTATTATAATTTATGCTTTACGAAGGCTTCACCACACCCCTACACCTCACAATGTTTTTTCGGGGTGAACGTTTTAATTCACACATTTAACAATTGGAGCATTTAGGATTAGAGAGGGAAAGATACTTGCTTTAGGTCCCACAACTTACAAATAGCAGAGGCAGGGTTTTCCTTGGTTTCCATGATTCTGAAGTCATGTCCTCTCTAACTTACAACTTGGCCTTGCAAGGTCAGGCTGGAGAAGACGGCTAAGCATACATCTCCACCCCGGGCCAGGGATCTAGATTGTAGGAATGAGTGAATGGAAGATTGAAGGTCATGCACTGTCAACAAAGGTGATATTGCCCACCAGGGGGCAGCCAAAAACAAACAAAACCACAATAAACAAACAAAAATACTGGGGTGTTACTATGGTTGTGACCCTATAAAGGACCACAAATGGACATAAGTGAATGTGTGTGTGTGTATATATATATATATCATCTGTGGTATTGTTTTATGGGAAGAGGGAGCGAATAGGGGAAAAATGTCTAAGAGTGCTTCTCAGAGAGATGGTAATAATCAAAAGATGAGAAAATAGCAGAGAGGGGAGGGTACTGTGATTAGGTTTTCACACCCCGTCCCCAATAGGACTTGGCAGGGTTGAATTTTGCTTAATTTTACCTGGAAGAAAGTCTTAATATACACTGGGAAGAAATAATAGTGTTTTCCATTCAAATATTCTGGGCCTTCTCATAGTGGGCATCATCGTTATGTCATTCCTCTGTCCACAGACATCTGTCCTGAAGGTCCTGTTGGGCGGTCCCGAGCTGGCTGGCTACAGAGTTATTAGTGGGTCCAAGAGGTTGGGAAATGACTGGTAGAGGGTGAAAAATATGATTACAAGTAATTATGGGCAAGTATGGTTTGGGTAGGGGGAGTGATGATTTTACACTCCTAGGCTCTGGCTACTCAGAGTGTGGTCCTCAGAAGGTGGCATCAATACTACCTGGGAGCTGGTTAGACCTGTAGCTTCTCAGACCCCTATCCAGCCCTCACTGGTTCAGAAAGTGAAGTTCACAAGACCTTCAGGTGATTTGTATGCACATTCGATTTTGAGAACCACAGCTGACGGCCTGTGGTTCTTAGCCTTGGCTACAAGTTAGAATCACCCGGAGAGATGAAAACCTGTAAGGCCCTCAGGCCCTGCTCGAGACTACCTAGACGAGGCGCAGGCTCCAGCAGGCCCTCGTGGGGGTGACCTGATTTGTGGTTTGAAGGATCATCTGCGGCGTAGTGTGTGGCAGTGGGGCAGGATGAGAAATGGAAGCAAGGAAACAGGGAGACCTTTCTGTCCTGGAGAGCAAAACTGGATCAGTGTCTTCTTGACTCGTACCTCTGGGCTTTCCTTCAAGGTAGGAAAAAGACCCCAACTTCATTTCATGCACTGTGGCCACCAACTCACCTGGACTCTGGCGCTCAGGAGTGTTGTGAGTAATCTACGTCTTAGGACCAGCGGCACATCAAGAACAGATTCTCCAGCAACAAGGGAAAGGTAAAGAGGCTATCCAAGTGGCTTTCCAGGAGAGATGCAGTGGCAGCTTCCGGGCAAGGGGAGGGGCGGGTGGGAGGGAGTAGCCGCAGAGAGATGAGAAGAGTTGGAGTGGGATTGATTTCTGCAGTGCAGTCGCTAATGGCCTTTGGCAAGTGAAAGAAAAAGGATCTCTTGACATTTATACAAAATTTTCTTGTAGTTTCTTAATATGGTTAATTGTGTTCTTTTTATTTTTAATCCAGATAATTTTCTCTCTTGCAGTTATATAATATGTTGGATAATTCAACGTTCAGAGCTCCGGGAATGCCTAAATACTGTGCTCACATCGTTCTTCAATCTGTGCTGTAATTCTGATTTATTGTATACGTGAAATCCAACCTTAGTGTTTGGTCTGGGCCCTCCCGAACCACTGAAAGTGATGGTGATGTTGACCCACTTTCTGCTTGTTGAAACTCAGTGGTCACAGGCCTCTTGGGAAAAGCAGAGTTTCAATCTTAGCACTCTTGACATATTGGGCTACACAGTTCTCTGTTGTGGGGGCTGTGCTGTACATTGTAGGATGTTCAGTAGTGTCCTGTCCTCTACCCATTAGTTCTAGTAGTACTCTCCCAGCTGCAGCAGCTCATAACGTCTCCAGATATTGACAACTCTCCTCCAGAGGGAAAAATTGCCCCCAGTTGAAAACCACTCAACTAGGGCTGGGAGGAAGACTTAGAGTATACATTTTTGGTTGTCTAGTAAGCATGTTCCTCAAGGAGACCCTCTCTTCCTTTTTTTAAAGGGGCTTTCTGTGTATAAACTGGCTAACATCTGGCTACTGATTGCGGGCCCACCATTCTTTATTGCCAAGTCTGGTAGACACTACTTATACAAATCAAGTAAGACCTTGGTAGGGTGATCATCTATTTTAGTTCTAGGGACCTCATGACTATCAAATGTCTAGGGTCTCTATGGGTCAGACTTTTCTGATAACTTTCAGCTCTGCTGCCCATTATGGTAACCACATCTTCCTTGTCTGCTGTGATTAGATGCCGCCAGTTGACTCCAGCTACTTCAGGATCTCATCATCCCCATTGAATTCAGAGATCCCAGTGTGATGACAAATTTCCCCTCTCATTTCTAGTCTTTAGAGACAGCCACCGTAGAGGTTTTTGTGGATGCTGGGCTTCCTCCCTCAAAGCATTTATCAAAGCCTTAGTGAAAAGTGTGTCCTCTGTATCCTCTGGACCATTCTGGGGACATAGAAGGTATCTGAACAGGTACCCTCTTAAGCATATTATTTTCCCTATGCCTCTGGATCCCTTCATCAGTATACCAAGAAGGTAATGAAACTTCAAATTCATTTAGTTTTAAAATACCTTTAACTCCAGATCAGTAACCAACCAACCAAATGTTTAGAGCCATTTGCAGACCCTCAAGCAAACACACTGATTCCAGAATCTCTGCTTAGTGCACCTAAACCGTCTAAATTCAGTGAGTTCAACATTGTTTCTTCTTCCCTGATCCAATACGACTTCGGATCCATTCTCATGCACATTGCTGAGGTTCTGGCAATATAAATTGACAAACTCTTCAATTCTTTTGGTGTGTATTGACCTCCTTAGAAGTCACACTTTTTAACTTACCTCCTGGGGCCCACTGGGAATAGAGTCTGGTTGTGAGTCTAGAAGTCATGAGAGGCATGAGGATAGCTCCTGAAGAGCAGCAGTTTCTTGGAAGGCAGCTACCTCGAGGAATGCCAGGTGTTCAGGCTGAGGAAGACTAACTCCCTCAGACAGTCATGGAAGGGCTGTCTACTGGCAAAGAAGACTGTAGAATTTAGGGCTTTAAGGTTTCCAGTTTCATTGGAATCTGCTCACGTATTCTCATCCCAAATTTTAAGTCCTATTCCTTCTCCATCTATGTCCTAACCTTACCATAAGAAACCTTGCAAAGTTGAGGATTCATTTTGTAATTCAGCCACCCACCGGATTGAATTTCATGTCTGGGTTTCAGAAACCTTGGCTCTGTGGTACAGGATATCCTTATCTTCCAGAACAATCATAAATCCTGAGGCTTACCAGTTTCTTTCCTCACATTCTTTAGTGCACTTGGAAGCAACCATTGATTCCCAAACTGCTTACTTATTTTCACTAAAATCTTCCTTGGTAGCAGTTGGTTCGCTCAAATTCTTGCCTTTTATTAGCACTTGAGTACAGATGTCTACAGGTAATATTTCAAGTAACTCTATTGCATGTCATGAACTAGCGGCATCTCCTTTGTTATAACCTCTCTAACTGTATCAGAAAATCAATTCCAGATAACCCAAAAGTAGTTCAGAGAACGTCATTAAGGTTCTGTTCCCCACAAACCACTTAAAAAAATTTTTTTTCCTTATTGATTTTTAGAGAGAGAGGGAGAGAGAGAAAGAAATATCGATGAGAGAGAACATCGATTGGCCGCCTCCTGCATGCCCCCAACTGGGGATTTGGCCCACAACCTGGGCATGTGCCCTGACCAGGAATGAAACTGGCGAGTTCTTAGTGCATGGGTTGATGCTCAACCATGGAGCCACACTGGCTGGGCGAACCACTTTTTTTTTTTTTTTTTTTTTAGAATGGAAGCATTATATTGATGTTTTATTTATTCCATTCATTTGCACCTATTCTACATGTAACACAAACAATGAGAAGGAAAAAAAATATCCATTGTGGTGATGATTAAAAATTCTCAAACCAAAGCCACTGTGCTTATACCAAAGAAGTTCAACCTCACACAGAATAAATTAAAAGAAATATATATATTTCAGAAGAACAAAGACAATCAGTAAGAAAAGATCACATACAGAAAAATGACAATCAAACCCAAGGGTAACTTCTTAGCATTATCAATGTCAGTAGAAACACAGTGAAATAATTTTGTCAATGTCCTGAAAGAAAACAAATACCAAGCACTATATTCTATGTATTTCCTTCTATTTTTATTTTATTTAGATATTTTAGGAATTTCTGTTGGGTTCTATTCATTTGATTGGTATATGCAATGAACCACATTAATGAATTTCTAAGATTTTATTCTGTTTTTTTATATTTTAAGATTTAATTTGCTAAATTTAATTAGGTATTTTCCCCAAGTTAGATTATTTGTGGTTGCCTTTCCAGTTATTTATTTTCTCTCTTTGCCGTGTTTTGAATTTAAAATAAAGCTAATGTTATAAATGTATTGAAATTTTTTTTCTTTTGTTCAAGTTCTGGGATGAATATAATATTGCCTGTACATATTTCAATAAGCAGATCATTTTCCCACTACTCAGCCAATTACAATGAAATAAGAGTTTGTCTAAAATATTTTTTTGGCCTACTTTGCACCTATTCTACATGTAGTCTATATTCCAAATGCCCCAAATTATTCTATCATAAGTCCATGTCTAGAATTCTTGGGAAGTCTTTTTTTTTTATTTTTTTTTATTTTTATTTTTTTCCCCAAATCTTTATTGTTGGATGTAAAATGTATTACAGATGTTCCACATTTTTCCCCCATTGACCCCCTCCTCCCCACTCCCGCCCCCCTCCCACCTTTTCCCACATTATTGTCTGTGTCCATTGGTTATGTATATAAGTTCTTTGGTTTATTTCTTCCCACCCTCCCAACCCCTTTCCCTTTGAGGTTTGTCAGTCTAGCAATGAATTTGTGCTTCTTAATCCCTTCACCTTTTTCACCCATTCCCCCAATCCCCTTCCCAACTGGCAACCAACAAAATGTTCTCTGTATCTATGAGAATGTTTCTGTTCTTCCTGTTCATTTTGTTTGTAGATTCCATTGTTGATAGATATGCATTCATTGCCATTTTGTTTGTTCATACATTTTATCTTTTTCTTCAAAAAGACCCTTCATCATTTCATATAATAACGGTTTGGTGGTGATGAACTCCTTTAACTTTTTCTTGTCTGGGAAAGTTTTTGTATGTCCATCGATTCTAAATGACAGCTTTGCAGGATAGAGTAATTTTGGTTGTAGGTTCTTGGTTTTCATCACTCTAAATATTTCTTGCCACTCCCTTCTGGCCTGCAAAGTTTCTTTTGAGAAATCAGCTGACAGCCTAATGGGTACTCCCTTGTAGGTAACTAGCTGCCTTTCTCTTGCTGCTTTTAAGATTCTCTCTTTGTCTTGAACCTTTTGCATTTTGATGATGATGTGTCTTGGTGTGTGCCTCTTGGGGTTCATCTTGTTTGGGACTCTCTGTGCTTCCTGGACTTGTATGTCTGTTTCCTTCACCAAGTTAGGAAAGTTTTCTGCCATTATTGTTTCAAACAGGTTTTCGATTTCTTGTTCTCTCTCTTCTCCTTCGGGCACCCCCAAGATGCGAATGTTGGCACGCTTGAAGTTATCCCAGAGGCTCCTTACTCTATCCTCATTTTTTTGGATTCTTTTTTCTTTTTGCTCTTCTGATTGGGGATTTTTTGCTTCCTTATATTCCAAATTGATGGTTTGCTCCTTGGATCTACATACTCTATTATTGAAGCTGTGTAAATTATTCTTTATTTCAGTTAATGCCTCCTTTAATTCTAACTGTGTATCCATGATTTCTAACTGGTACTTTTTTATGCTCTTGATGCCCTCCCTAAGTTCACTGAGGTTCTCACTAAGTTCATTGAGCATCCTTATAAGCAGTATTTTGAACTCAGTATCTGTTAGGTTGCTTATCTCCCTTTCGCTTAGTTTTTTTATTGGGGTTTTGTTCTGTTCTTTCATTTGGGACCTGTTTCTTTGTATCCTCATTTTGGCTGCCTCCCTGAGTTTGTTTCTGTGTATTACTTAATGAGAGGTATGGGGCTCGCTGAGACCCGGTGCTGCTCGTTTGAAAGAATTTAGGAAAAACCTGAAGCAGGATCCAAGACCGGCCAATCCTATGGTTAAGCAAGTGGCACCAGCTTGAAAGTTGTGTGGGGCGGGGCGGGGCAGGGCCTCAGGGAATCACCAGGGCGGGGCTACCAGTGTGAGCCAGGTTGCTGGAGTCCCAGATATGGCTTCTGTCTGCCGCCCCCGGGAAGGGCTCACCAAAGGAACAAAGGCCTCTGACAGCACGTTTGTCCCAGAGAAAGCCCCCTCTCCAGCCCTCGCTCCAGTGCCAAACAGCTCAGTTCTTCCCTGTATGTCTCTGGTGCCCCTTGAGCTGCCTCCCCTCCGAGCTTAGAGGGAGAGAGTCCGATAAGTCTGTGTGCGGGCCCTTTAAGGAGCTGCCTGGGGCTCCAGCCACTTCAGCTTCCCTGAGCCTCAGTTTCCGCTGGTTTTTCCAGCCAGAAGTTATGGGGACTTCCCGGCACTGGAACCCTGAACGGGGCACCTGGTGTGGGACGGGGACCCCTCAGTCCTCAGGAAGGACCTTCCCAGCCGCGGGATCCTCCTGATTTTTATCCGCCACACTTGGGTGTGGGACCAGCCCCTCTCGCCGCTGCGCGCTCTGCCGCCGCTGCGCCGCCACCGCCCACCCCTTGCGCCGCTGCCCGTCCTACCTGTCTAGATGTAGCTGCTTTTTTTTTTTCCCCTTAGTTCCGTAGTTGTACGACTTCCATTCAGCTTGATTTCAGGCGGTTTTGAATGATGGTTGTTCTGTAGTTTAGTTGTAACTTTGATGTGGTTGTGGGAGGACGCGATACCGCGTTTACCTACGCCACCATCTTGACCGGAAGTCTGGGCGAACCACTTTTAGTATCAATTTCTGTATCAGTCAGGGTTTAGTCAGGAAACAACCACTAAGAGTAATATGAAATATTGGATTTACTGTAGATCTTACACAGTTGTGGGTGGTGATGAAAAGGTCTATGGAAAGGTTTTGCCTCTGTGTCTGGTGGTAGGTCTCTGGCTGATGCAGTCAGCAGGTCCAGGAGTTGGGAGGAAATTTTAGATTTGAAGCAAGGGAGAGTGGGAACAAACTGGAATCCTGTCTGTCTCTCAGTGTCTTCAACTTTATGAAGTAGATGACCAACCCTCTCACCTCCCTACCCCCAGCACCTGACCTGGGATATGGAGAAGCTGGAAGAGGAGATAGGAGGGAACTGGATCCAGCTCCAGACCCATATGCTGCCCCACTCCAACAAGGTGGGCCAACAATGTAAGTGATATAAGTGAACTTCAGCAGGGCACGCCAACTGACCTTTAGACCTTAGTGGCTGCAGCTTTGCTCTGGAAGTTGAACTCTCATGCAAGTTTCTCTTATGCCTAACCATTACCCACAACCACACAGGGAAGGGAATTCTGGGAAATGTAGTTCCAATTGAGCTAAATTTGCACAGTAGAAAGTCATCATAGAAGGGGTTGGATTTGGGATTAGAATAGTGCTAACAGCAGTTGTTGATCTATTTTATTTATAGATGAGGGACAGAGGATTACTTATACTTATCTTTTTGTTTGAACAGTTATTTTGATTCGATTTTTTAATTCCTTTTTTGGAGTAAAACAGGCTCTTCACTCTTTACAGCTTATTTCTGAGTTGTAAAAATTATCTCGCCCTCTCCCACATGTTTTAGTATTTCCTCTAGTGCAACATTCAGTCTTGGCTGCCACAATCAGACAGACAGAAAGCACAGGAACATGTTTTCTCGCATCTGTAGGAGAAACTTCAGCAGCAGACATTAACTGCTCCAAGTACGACAAATAGATGTGTTTGTTGTTGTTGTTTTTTTAACATTGTCAGTACTGTTGGTTCTGCTCTCCTTTTTTAATTCAGGTTACCTTCTCTCTTGCAATTGTATAATGATTTTTTTTTTTTTTTGGTATGTGCCCCTAGTGGGAACAGAACCTGGGACTCTCTGGTCCACAGGCCAACGCTCCAACCACTGAACCAAACCGGCCAGGGCTGTATAATGATTTTGATAGTTAACCTTTCCCAGCTGCAGGAGGGCCTGACTACTGCCCGGGCACGTTGCCATCACCCTCACATCACTCTTCAGGGCGTTGTGACTCCCTCAGTAATTCAAAATTGATGTTTAGTTCCTGTCTTCAGGAATCAGACCTACCTCTTGCTTGTTGAACCTTTTTCGTCTGGTGACTGCCAGGTCACCCTCTTTCCCTGATTCCCGTCTCTCCTTCTCAGCCTTTTGGCCTGTCCTTCCTTCGGTTCTTTCTCTAGCATTGCATCCCCAGGGCCCTGCCTTTTATTTTTGTCTCTTGGTTTCCATAATAAATTTCACTATCTCAGGGGATGGTACCCACACTCTGGTGTCTTGCAATCTACATAGTAGCACCTGCTGATTTATGAAGAGGTACCATAAACTATGTACTTTACTAATATGTATAATCTTTAATTTAAAAAACATCCTATAATGTTTAGTAGGTAACCCTTTGACATGGGTATGAATCATCCCAGTTTTCAATTGAGGAAACTAATTCTGGGCAAAGTTCAGGATTTTCCTTGAGCCAGCTAGTAAGTGGATTTGAACCAAGGCCTACCGGACTTGTAAGCATTGTCAAAACAAGCTCAGATCTCCTTATTTTCAGACTGAAATATCCAATGACATGCTGAAAAGAGACATCGTTTCAAACTTAATAATACAAATAGATCCCTATCAGTATGATTAGTCTCACCACTCCAACCCCCAACCTCATCCAAAATATACATTTCTCCTCTGCTATTCCTTATTCTTTTCAAGGTAACAGTCTCCAAAAGTTTCCAAATTTAGAACATCTTTGAGCACCCTCACTCCAGCACTGTCCTATCTGGCTGCTCACCAAGTCCTCTAGTGTTGGAGTCAGACGTATCTCTGCAGCACTGTGGCTCCTGATGTGGTCTCCGACCTCCTTCCTGAATTCTTGCCACTGTTCTTTCATTTCACAATTGGTTGTCTACACTGCTGCCAAAATTATCTTCTGGGGAGAAAAAAAATCAATCTGGTCCTGTCAGTTTGCTTTAAAACCTCTCTTGACTTCATTTTGCCTGCAGAATAAATTTCAGACTCCTTGGTATGCCTCCCAAGGCCCTTGACAATTGGCCCAGCCTATCTTGCCGTCAGCTATTTGTCATAGATGTGCACGATACAGGGGCCGCAGAGGTGCAGAAATGACAAAACTTGACTTTTTATTACTTATTTTCTCAATCAATGGATACTAAAAATGGCACAGCTATAATGTGGAGTTGCATTTTTATGTTTGGTAGAAAAGGGGTTCTTTTTTTCTTACAGATGTCCCTCCTTTTCCCCACATTGACACCCTCTACCCCACTCTTCTCCCCTCCCCCACCGGAAAGGGGTTCTTATAATGTAAATACTGGGAATCAACTAGATTTTTATGAAATCTTTCTTCCAGATTGTAGAGTTTAATTATTTCAAGTATCTTTCTTAGCCAAAGCTGTTAGAAGGGTATGGACTTGAAGTTCAAAAGTGTCCCTGGACTGATAAATTTGGTTTTATGTGTATGTTTGGGGGAGGAGTGGGAGGATTGTATGGTAGGTTGGTGAAGGGATACTAACTTTAAGGTCCGTAGGAAGCCAGGAAAATGTTTGTTCTTTCTCTGTAATTCAAATAAAATAATTTTAAATGCTTCTGGCTCTTCCGATAGGCTAGAGAATAAAGGCAGTGCTAGGAATAAGACACCATTTACTAATCCTGAAATGTCATGTTGTGAAACTCCGTCTTCTGTTATGACCTGTGATAAAAGGGGGGATGAGAACTATTTTCATTCTAAAGGAGCCACTGGTTCTTCAGCAGGCCCTCAGGACACCGTCTTGTGTGGTCAGCACCCCCCAGAGAAGCAGCCTGTGAGGTTAGAGATGGCAGGCGGTGGGTTCCAGCAGATTTGGGTTGAAGTCCTAGGCATACATACTATCTGACCTTGAGCAAATCAAAGCTCTGAGACTCAATATTTTTGTTCTTCAAGTGAGAGTAAAATACACATTTCAAGGTTATGGTGAGGTTTACATGAAGTAAGGTTGATCTGCAGGGGATTTATACAGGTTTATTGGCTTTTCCCTAGTGTCATGCTTCCAAATGCCTCCTACATCTTTAGTGCTTCGATCTCTGACTGGAGGCATCCTTACAACTGATTTAGTCCACTTGGTTTACAGATGCAGAAACTCGAAGAGGTCTTATGGGATGTCTGCAGTTACATCAGAAAGGAGCCGGATGACCCGGGCCCTGTGTTTTTACCTTCCTAGAACTGATTTCATTCCTGGTGATGAAGAAATCAGACACCAGTCAAGTGATATTGAGATAGAAAATCAACTTGCACATCGCAAACATCCAAGAACCTTCTGAATGCCAGAGCTGTGCCAGGAGCTGGTAGTTAAACTGTCCCTTTACCTGACGTGCTCACAGCCGGAGGCGCAGACTTAACCCAAGAGCTGCAGGTCAGGTTAGTCTGGATTGACTGCTGCAGACCCAGAGGAAGGAAGGCTGTGTTTTACCAGAGCACCTAAAGTCCACAGGCGGCACTGTGTGTGGAGGCTGGTCTACCGGCTCCCCACGCATCAATTCAACACAAATTGGTGGGGCAACAAATCCATGTCAGGTAACCACTGTATTGTCTATGAGACCTAAGAATAGGAGGGAAAATAACTGCATAATGTACAGAGTGGGGACAGGAATAAGACGCAGAGGAAAATGACAACAATGCTAGGCAATAATTTTCTGTAAAAGAGATATGAGCAGAAGCAACACCGTTTACTGTGAAGCAAACCAGGCCGTCTCTGAATAGCTGGGACGGGCCCTCTGTTCTCCGTGGCAGCCCCTCCATTATTTCTTTTCCGACAGCGAGGGGCATAGAGGCAAGTTTACTTCCTGCCCTCTCCCTGCTCCTCTGCTCTTTCTTCCATTCTACACACGACTGCCTCCTACCTATTCCCCTTTCCCCCCCAGGTTCTGGCCTGAGGTAGCAGAGGTCCCACCCTTAGCAGTCCCCACAGGAATGAGGTGATGTCCAGGCTGCACTAACGTATCTAGACAAGCGGAACGTGGGGGAGGGTGGGGGCAGAGAGCAAGCCGAGAACAGCCGAGGGTTGCCCGCAGCTCCCCTGGTCCATGGATCTATCTCTGCATCACAGAAGTTGGAACTCTTTGATTTAGAGATCAAGTCTGAAAATGGTTTATAAAGATGCACAGGTGTTTCTTATGAGGTGTAGTGAGAGCTGAGAATCACAGGAGTTCATTCAATTTTGTGTAGAGTTTTCATCAAAAAGTGATTTTCCTTAATGGGCTACCATTAAGTCAAACTGAAAAGCCAGCTCCTTTCACATACTGGAGAGTTAAGCTTAAAGATTGTGAATGGCTAAGAAAATTGCAATTTCAAAATACAAAAAATGTTACTAGTTCTTGATATATCCCCTCTCCAGTTTGCGGGAAACTTGTGGGAGTAGTTGGGAAGTTTCCTGCTAAGATTCTTCTGGAGGGACGAGCAGGGGATCGTGGCCCAGGTGCAAGTTTGTTTATATAATTGTGGTGGTGTCTGGATTTCAAATAATGAATTTTGTCCGATAATGATAATGGATGACATTTTATTTTATTTTTACTATTTTTGTTAATACTCACCTGAGGATATTTTTCCATTGATTTTTTTTTTTTTTTAGATAGAGTGGAAGGGAGCGAGGGAGAGAGAGAAACATTGATGTGAGAGAGACACATCGATTGGTTGCCTCCTGCATGACCTGGACCTGTGCTGGGGATCAAACCTGCAACCCAGGTATATGCCCTTGACTGGGTATCAAACCCACGATCCCTTGGTCTACAGGTTGATGCTCTAACTGCTGAGCCAAACTGGCCAGGGCATGAATGACATTTTAAAAATCCTACTGTGTGCCAAATGCGCTGCTAGATCTTACTAGTTCTCTGTTACCTCTAAACCCTGTAACCGTCCTGGCAGGTTGTTACGTGGCTTCTATATGACAGGTGAAGGAACCGAGGCCTGTGTTATCCAGCTGGTAAGTGATAAGGCCAGGATTCCAAAATGAATACCTGTGATTCCAGAGTCTAGAATCTCAGTGTGAAAGCTCTTGAGAGCATGAAGCTGGGTGGAGAGGGTTGGCCAAAGATAAAAGCCAGGATACTTGAGTATATAGACCAAAGACACGGCTGGCAGTGAGGAGGTAGAATGAAGGGATGGACGGTGGACAGGTTGATCTCCGAGGCAGATATGACTGTATTTGGCCATTTGCCCCCTCCCTGTGTGAGAGCTGGTATGTCTGGGCGTGAACCTTGGCCTGCACTTCAGTGAGTACACTCAGGTGGGGAGGAGTTGACTCTGAGATGCTAGTGGTCCACCACCTGGTAGACTGACTTTCCACTTTCCTTGGCCCATCAGAAGTTTTCTCAAAAGTCCTCTTGAAGTTCCTGAGCTTGCTAAGTGACCACCTTTCCTTCATTAGATTTTGCTTGAGCACCACGATATGCCAGAAAGTTTGCCAAGCACGGGATTATGTCAGTGGGTCCAGGAGTGGGTCCTGGGTGATACTAGAGGGGACAGTGTAGTTTGGGGGTAGAGGGTGTTCTGTACGAAGGAGGTGGCAGCTTGCTCTAGGCATGCACCATGTAATCAGCTACCTGTCTAAAGAGAGTGTTCAAAAGGGCACCTGGCTGCAGTTCAGCAGGGGCAGACAGGTGATCATGGCAATATACTTGGCAGCTGGAAGTAGGAAGCTAGGGGGCTGGTGTGTTAGGTTAAATTCAGTTAGGTTGAATGTAGCTAAGGAATTAGCTAGAAGGAAGGGCATAGCCATATTTTCCAGGGACCTTTGAGACTGGGAATTGTGGGTCACACCTGTGTCAGGCAGAGTGCCCCAGAGAAACAGAACCGATAGAAGGTTGTATACATATTGAAAGATATTTACTTTTCTTATTTTTTAATCCATAGGGCAAAGACATGTTTATTTGATTTATTTATTTACTTATTTATTTTTAGAGAGAAGGGGAGACAGAGAGGAAAAGGGAGAGGGAGAGAGAAACATCAATTGGTGCCTCCTGCAAGCACCCCAAGTGAGGACAGAACCTGCAACTTAGGTATGTGCCCTGACCGGGAATCGAACCTGCAATCTTTTGGTGTATAGGATGATGCTCCAGCCAACTGAGCCACATTGGCTAGGGCTAAAGAGATTTATTTTAAGGAATTAACTCATGTGATTATGTGGAGGCTGACAAGTCTGAAATTTGTAGGACAGTGTAACATGCGGAAACTCAGGCAGAATTTCTGTGTTATAGTCCTAATGCAGAATTCTTCTCCAGGAAAGCTCAGTTTTTGTTTTTAAGGCCTCCAACTAATTGGATAAGGCCTACCTTTGTCGGAGATCATCTGTTTACTTAAAATCAAGATTGTAAAAATTAATCACAGCTACAAAATTCCCTCATCATAATGTCTAGACTAGTGTTTGACCAAATAACGGCACCATAGCCTAGCCAAGTTGACACATAAAATTTAGCCATCATAGTACCCTTAGATTGCCGAGTCGAAAGCAGGAGTCAAGAAGTGCTTAGTGTAAGGCAGGAGTCAAGAAGTGCTGTTGAGATGAGACTCATTATGGATGTGGTGCCGCCAGACACCCTGTGGACTGGATTTGGAACCACACATGGACAGCAATGGTCTGATCAGGTTGTAGGGAGGGCTAGTGGGTGGCTTTTGTTTGCCAGCTGTGTCCCGCTTTCCCTAGAGAAGCCCTCTAGTCCTTTCCCATCTCAAGACTGCCCCAGATGTCAAAGATCTTTGCTAGTATTGCCAAGGAAAAACATTCTTCTGCTACTTGAGCTGGGTCATGCTGCTGCCAAGTTTTCAGGCTGGAGGATTTCCTGGGCTGGGAAGTATCCTGGATGGCATCTATACCAGGCCTGCTTGAATACTGGGAACATAGCAGATGGTGAAATCAGAGCTGAACATTAGAATCATCAAGGGAGCTTGTAAGCGTGCATATGCCTTGGCCCTACTGCCTGAGATTCTGCTTTCATTGCCCCAGGTTAGGGTACTATCATGATTTTTTCAAAGATTCCCCCAGTTGATTCTAATTCACAACTGGGCTTGAGACTCACTGGCCATCTTAGGTCACCTCTTCTGGAAGTAGACCCCAGGCCAAGCATTTACTATTTATTTTTTTAAGAACGTGTTCCGAACAGAAACCAGGAAAGGAGTGGGGAAGGTAAAGAAGCCAGGCCAGACTCACCCTGATCCCACAGGAAGTTCTAGAACACAAAGTATATTCCCAGAGTCTGTCTGGCCTACTTCCACTTTACTCAGTCATTGGCTTCAAGCCAGTCAGGGAGACAAAATCTCAGCCACTCCCTGCACTCTGTACAAGTGAGGTGGCTCCAGTGCCCGAGGTCAATCATCTGAAGGTCATAGAAGAGTGTAGTTAGCAGTAAAACCCTCAGACGCTAGGGGTTTAGGACACTGAGCTGCTAGAAAGAATTCGAGGGGGATTTTAATGGGGGCACTAACAGTTTTCATGCAGTAGGTAAGTGGTTGGTACTCCTATTGCTGGATCTGCCTCAGTTGCTAGTGGTCTGTGTGAAGACACGGCAAGCCCATTATATAAAGTTTCTGCTTCAAGGACTTAAAGACAGCTTTAATTGGTAATCATACTTAGTAAATGCCAAGAACTGTGGAGGTTCTGAGATTTCCCCCTACTTTCACACTAACAAGTTAGCCTGAGGGTTTCATGCATGCTGGCAAAAGCAGTGAGAGCCCTCTGTCAGAGACAACGGGCTTCATTACAGTAGGAGCAGTGGCTAGAGTATCAGCATTTTCTTGCAATGGTTTCCTGAGCCCAGATTCCCACAGAGCACTGTAAAAGGGGCTGATTGACAGCTGCACATTCAGTGAGTGGATTGCATTACAGAGAGGAACCCTGAGCTTGGAGAACCCGAGTCTTTTATAATGGGCAGTAAGCTAAACTTCCCTTTGCTCCAGAGGGACACTCGCTTTTTAAAACTGTTCACTGTACAGACATTCTTGAAAGGATAGTTTGGTACAAAGGCAGTCAATGCCTCTGCTTGCAAGACATGCAGAAACATGGTCCCTCTGGATAATTGTCTCCCAACAGCAGGTAGGGGCAGGGGGACCTTTGGTACCTGCTTTGTTCATTTCTGGTTCTGGCTGTCAGGCATTTTTTCAGAATATTCCCTCCCTAGTGCAGGGATACATTTTGTCTTTGTTTTTAACCTCTGCTAACTTCGATTTTCAGCAATGCTCATAAGCTTCCCCCCACTCCATTTGCCTTTGTTGTTATTCCAAATATTACCACTTCATGGCACAATGACAGGCAGCCTACACAACCTCTTTTAGTTTCCAAACCAGAAAACTAAATAAGCTATAGGGATCCTTCCAGATATAAAATTTGAAGCCTTAAACATATATATATGAGGTATTTGGGAGCATGGTAATTTTAGTAATAGTAATAAGGAAAAAGAATAATGCATTAAATACCCACAAGAACAACTTAGTTTCATGTAAAGTCATCATAATATTGTACAACGTATCTGTTATTCATGTTATGTACAAAGACCCTGAGATTCAGAGAAGTGAC